GGCAGGTCAGTGGCTCCACTCAGTGGCAGGTCAGTGGCTCCACTCAGTGGCAGGTCAGTGGCTCCACTCAGTGGCAGGTCAGTGGCTCCACTCAGTGGCAGGTCAGTGGCTCCACTCAGTGGCAGGTCAGTGGCTCCACTCAGTGGCAGGTCAGTGGCTCCACTCAGTGGCAGGTCAGTGGCTTCACTCAGTGACAGGTCAGTGGGCACTGAGTTGCAGGACAATTTTAGCTTAGTGGCGGGGCAGTGGCTCACTCAGTGGAATGTCAGTGGGTTATGCGATGCAGGAGAGTGTGAGGGTAGATCCAACTCAGTGGCAGGTCAGTGGCAAGGCAGCGACGGGGCTATGGTCCTCTAAGTGGCCACTCAGTGGCAGGTCAGTGGCAAGGCAGCGACGGGGCTATGGTCCTCTAAGTGGCCACTCAGTGGCAGGTCAGTGGCGGCGATAGAGACACCCACTGAGTCACGCTCAGCTAATCCAATAAGCCAAAACGTGCGAGCAAAAAAGCCAGCCTTGCTCCTGCTCAAGACAGCGATGAGGCTGAGCCGCTGAGCCGCTGAGCCGTTGGCTTATCCGCTGACCTAATGGCCGGAACTGGCCAGCTTCTCCGCGCCACTTTAGGCGATGTGGCTAAAACACGGCGCCACAGGCTCTGTGGCTAAAACATCCACGGCCAAGCCACGATGCCACAGGCTCTGTGCTGACTAAATCATTCACGATGCCAAAAACAGACTAAAAAAATCTATGTCTTTTACGGTTAGGACCAGAAAATTTCTCGATAAGCTTTCATTTGAACTGAGCCTTCGTGAATATATAAAGATTTTGAAAATTGTGGCTTTATAACGGAAATTTGGAACATAAATACTGTCCCGATATAAATAATTTGTTGGTTTATTGAAGTGGCAAAGTATAAAAGAACTTTTTACTTGGTCAAATTAAGGCTTGATGAAATAACTATTTAAATTAAATCGTGAGACCGACCATCGACGCATGGCCATTTGGTGCCACATTTGCACCATTATTCAGTGCTTATCCTGAATTAATTTCATCAAAAAGTGAAATCATCTCTAGCCAAACAAGACCCAGCAATTTAAGTTTTATTAGTTTAATTTCTATAAACAGTTTTCAACAGTAACAAAGTCCTGACCTCTCCTAATGACATGCGAGAGAAAAATGAGTGAAAATGCGCGGTAAATTGAATGTGGCGTTTATAGCGCGTAGACTTCACGCAGGCTCTGCACCGCATCATACGATAAACGATAACTGATAAATAGATACGGGATGCAAACGCGGCATGTGCGGTATTGTTATTGTAGTGTCCTCGGCGCAAGTGAGGCAAGAAATATTGCTACGGGTCCTGAATTTATTAAACAAATTAGAAGCTTGAGCGGCAACTGGAAAGTGTCCAGCGAACCTTCACTTCCAGGATCAGAGGGATGGAGAAGTTGATCTACTGGGAAAGGTTGAAGCGCGTGCGGTCTGTTACACTCACTGCAGAGGAGACGAGAGAGGTATGTCATTCTGTATACAAAAAATTCTGTGTAAAATGATAACCGGAATGGCAACAAACTTTAAAAGCGAGACAATCACGATTGAAACATACCATAACGAGAGAAAGGGGAGACTGCATGATACCATCTTTACGTAACAGATCTGCTGTCAGATATCAATACCTGCGGGAAGGATCTCGTTTCGTGGCGGAGTCGAGGTTGTTTAACGTATTGCCAAAGAATTTAAGGGAGGATGAGCTCACCCTAGAGTCCTTAGAGAGACGACTAGACGCTCTGAGCACAATTTCTGATCAGCTGCATCAGCTGAGGGCATGAGCTACATTATAAACTAAACCTGGACTACGAGCAAGCGATAAACACCATAATAACAGCCTGCACCTACAAGCTGGCCCAACTGAAGGTATTAGCTGATCTAACTGAGGGCATCAGCTGGCCCAACTGAAGACATTAGCTGATCTAACTGAGGGCATCAGTTGGCCCAACTGAAGACATTAACTGATCTAACTGAGGGCATCAGCTGGCCTAACTGAGGCCAGAGGTGCGGTAGTCATGGCCAGGCCCCCGACACCTCGGCTGGGAGGACGACTTGCCTGCCGGCGCTGAGGGCGGCGGAATACAGCGGCGGCTCTCCAGCGCGGCCTGGGACTGCTACACTCGAAATATATACTAAATATACTAAGAATTGTAATGTCCATTGTGCGACAATGAACAGCCATTGTAAACCGACATTGTGTGGCATTGTACCCGTCATTGTAACCCGACATAGTGGCATTGTACCGTCATTGTAGCCCGACATTGTGGACATTGTATCATCATTGTAACCCGATATTGTGGGCATTGTACCGTCATTGTAACCCAACATAGTGGCATTGTACCCGTCATTGTAACCCGACATAGTGGCATTGTACCCGTCATTGTAACCCGACATAGTGGCATTGTACCCGTCATTGTAGCCCGACATTGTGGACATTGTATCATCATTGTAACCCGATATTGTGGGCATTGTACCCGTCATTGTAACCCAACATAGTGGCATTGTACCCGTCATTGTGGCCCGACATAGTGGCATTGTACCCGTCATTGTGGCCCGACATTGTGGGCATTGTACCGCCATTGTAACCCGACATAGTAGCATTGTACCCGTCATTGTAACCCGACATTGTATGACAGTACGACATTATACCGACCTCTACCTCCGACATCGGCTCAATGTGGCCGGAGCGCAGGCCGCCATTTTGTTCGGGTTCTACGCCCCCTTGAGGACCCCCCTCACTTTCCCCTCCCCCCTCCCCTCCTCTCCTCCTTTCCCTCCACCCCCTCCGCTGTCAATTCGTTGTGTTTGCTGCATTTGCCACAGGGGCTATCATGTTGCATTTGCCCCTGTTGCTGCCACAGTTGCTGCCACTGTTGATGCCACAGTTGCTGCCACAGTTGCTGCCACAGTTGCTGCCACAGTTGCTGCCACAGTTGCTGCCACTGTTGCTGCCACTGTTGATGCCACAGTTGCTGCCACAGTTGCTGCCACAGTTGCTGCCACTGTTGATGCCACAGTTGCTGCCACTTTCACCCCCCGCTCTCTCAGTCCCACTCACCCCCGCCCTCTCAGTCCCACTAACCCCCACTCTCTCAGTCCCACTCACCCCCCGCCCTCTCAGTCCCACTCCTGTCTCTTATACACATCTAGATGTGTATAAGAGACAGNGGCAGGCGTGGCATGGTCAAGTCCTGCGTTGACAGGCGTGGCATGGTCAAGTCCTGCGTTGACAGGCGTGGCATGGTCAAGTCCTGCGTTGACAGGCGTGGCATGGTCAAGTCCTGCGTTGACAGGCGTGGCATGGTCAAGTCCTGCGTTGACAGGCGTGGCATGGTCAAGTCCTGCGTTGACAGGCGTGGCATGGTCAAGTCCTGCGTTGACAGGCGTGGCATGGTCAAGTCCTGCGTTGACAGGCGTGGCATGGTCAAGTCCTGCGTTGACAGGCGTGGCATGGTCAAGTCCTGCGTTGACAGGCGTGGCATGGTCAAGTCCTGCGTTGACAGGCGTGGCATGGTCAAGTCCTGCGTTGACAGGCGTGGCATGGTCAAGTCCTGCGTTGACAGGCGTGGCATGGTCAAGTCCTGCGTTGACAGGCGTGGCATGGTCAAGTCCTGCGTTGACAGGCGTGGCATGGTCAAGTCCTGCGTTGACAGGCGTGGCATGGTCAAGTCCTGCGTTGACAGGCGTGGCATGGTCAAGTCCTGCGTTGACAGGCGTGGCATGGTCAAGTCCTGCGTTGACAGGCGTGGCATGGTCAAGTCCTGCGTTGACAGGCGTGGCATGGTCAAGTCCTGCGTTGACAGGCGTGGCATGGTCAAGTCCTGCGTTGACAGGCGTGGCATGGTCAAGTCCTGCGTTGACAGGCGTGGCATGGTCAAGTCCTGCGTTGACAGGCGTGGCATGGTCAAGTCCTGCGTTGACAGGCGTGGCATGGTCAAGTCCTGCGTTGACAGGCGTGGCATGGTCAAGTCCTGCGTTGACAGGCGTGGCATGGTCAAGTCCTGCGTTGACAGGCGTGGCATGGTCAAGTCCTGCGTTGACAGGCGTGGCATGGTCAAGTCCTGCGTTGACAGGCGTGGCATGGTCAAGTCCTGCGTTGACAGGCGTGGCATGGTCAAGTCCTGCGTTGACAGGCGTGGCATGGTCAAGTCCTGCGTTGACAGGCGTGGCATGGTCAAGTCCTGCGTTGACAGGCGTGGCATGGTCAAGTCCTGCGTTGACAGGCGTGGCATGGTCAAGTCCTGCGTTGACAGGCGTGGCATGGTCAAGTCCTGCGTTGACAGGCGTGGCATGGTCAAGTCCTGCGGTGGCAGGCGTGGCATGGTCAAGTCCTGCGTTGACAGGCGTGGCATGGTCCAAGTCCTGCGGTGACAGGCGTGGCATGGTCAAGTCCTGCGGTGGCAGGCGTGGCATGGTCAAAGTCATGCGGTGGCAGGCGTGGCATGGTCAAGTCCTGCGGTGGCAGGCGTGGCACTTTTAAAAATAAACAGAGAGCGAATTGCCACTTCTTTTTTACGAGCATTTAAATCTTTCAAGACGACCAGAAATTCAGAATATTTTCCTGCGTGCTTTTTTATTTAAATAGACCGTAACGGGCAAAATATATTGCCTTTTGCAGTCATGTTCTAAAAATTTCCTAGAAAAAAGGATAGATTTTAAAACTTTCTGAAAAAAGTTTCTGAAACTTTTAAAACTGAAGTGGCTTTTAAATCCAGAATCACGACATCAAATGAAAGAAATTTAAAACTTATATTTATATCAGAACAAAAGCAGTTGCATCGAAAAAATAACATTGCTGCATGTCAAATTATAACGGACAACTAATGATTATATTATTCAATTCTGAGTCAATTACTGACACCTCGAATTTATTGCTCGTAAAATCACGGCCCTCGGAGTCACGGATCAGTGACTCATAACTCACGAGGGTCGTGTGAGGGTTGTGAGGGCTGACGTCAGCAAAACTCCTCACGGGACCCCACGCGTTGTGAGGGCAGCGCTTCCTGACGCCACCCACGCCACCCACGACACGCGGGGCCACCCACGACACCCACGCCACGCGGGGCCACCCACGACACGCGGGGCCACCCACGACACCCACGCCACGCGGGGCCACCCACGCTACGCGGGGCCACCCACGCCACGCAGGGCCACCCACACGGCAAACCGGGCGCGGTATCCTGGATACGAGGGCCACGGCGCCTGGAAATTGCATCACAGCGATGCCACTGACGGCCACTTGAATTCAAAGGACGTCACTGCTGGCCACTGGAATTTATAGGACGTCACTGGCGCCCGCTGGAATTCATAGGAGCCACTTGACCAGCCGGCCGCTGGAATTCCGAAGGACGTCATTGACGGCCACTGGAATTCAAAGGACGTCACTGACGGCCACTGCAATACAAATGACGTCGCTAACTGATGTATACTAAAGCTGGAATTCGAAGAAAAGTCCCAGAAAAACACGTCACTTGTCGTTCGTCGTCCCGAGGCGGCAATGGCAGTACGACAGCACCCTTCATTAAGCAGCTCGTTAGCGGAGGGTCAGCAGCCACAGCGCCTAATGAGGCGTGAATGTGGCAGCCAAGCATTAATGAGGTGTGGGAGAGTAGGAGAGGGGTGAGAGGATGGTGGTGGTTAGGGGGGTGGGGAACGGAGTGGGAGGGCACAACAAATTGAGTGGGAAAAAGAGTGAAAGATGGAAGTAGAAGATAAGATTGTGATGGCTAAAGTGCGAAGGTTGAGCAACGTGAGGGAGTCAGTACAAGAGAATAGGAAGGTTATAGAACGGAGAATAATTGGTGGTAGAATGCGGGGTACAAACAAGTGAGCGTGGCAGTTAAGAACACCGATAACACGTGCAGACCTGTCATGTGATAACACGTGCAGACATTCAGCCTGTTGTCATGTGCAGATTGCGGGACAGCAGAGCGGCAGTGGGAGAAGCAGATGTCACCAGAGGGCTCAGCTTCTCTTCATTCAGCTCGACATTTCCCATCTGCCCAAGCTGAAGTCACGCTAGATGGTAATGCTCACCACAATGCAGCTCAACTACCGCGTTATCAGCCAAACAGTGCTAATGACGGACAGCAGCTACAGATCATCAGCACAACATCAGAAGATCCCTCAAACTGTCATGATCCGGAGTTTGAGGTGAGCGACTTCCGCAACTTCAAGCAGGTACGACAAACCTGCATGTCGAATTCGTCGTATTATCCGGACGACAATCTCATGATCCACGTTGACGCCAATCACTCCTCAGGAAGCAGCGAATGTTTGCAGCAACAGTGCTTGCATCAAGAAATCATGTCGAATCTGGAGACTCCAGAAGTCCCACTTACGAACCTACAACCACCGAGCGTAGCGTGCGAAAAAGACGGTCTTTCAGACTCCGAACTTCCAATTGAAGATCAAGTTGCGCGGACTCCTGCTTCCAGCGAGCACACGAGTTTGTCACGCATGGACGCAGACGCAAACTTTGGTCATGGCAACACGAATTCTAATATTCCATCAAATCAAATGCCTTCTCAAAGTTCTTCCGCGTCAGCCGGGTCTAGTCAGACAGGGTTCAGGAGAGGGTCTCTACAGTTGTGGCAGTTTCTGGTGGCGTTGTTGCACGACCCCGTCAACGTGTCGTGCATCGCATGGACCGGGCGAGGCATGGAGTTCAAGCTCATTGAGCCAGAGGAGGTATGTAACTGTTTCTTAATGTCAAGTATTCAGATCTTTCACAAGGAACTGAATACTTGGCTAATGACTAATACTAATTAGACAAGTACTAATTAGAATACTGAATTACTGAATACATTATAAATACGCAAAGAACTAGGGACTTTTGGGGGCTTGGCCTCAAAATAGGACGCTACGCCAGAAAAATATGCTTGCATGTATTAGAATATCGATATGACCTGCAAAAAAGAGAGTTTTGCAACAGAAATTACTCATGCCTATATGTAAATAATTAGAATGTAAAGCAAGGAATTTTCAACCTATTTTTCCAATATTACTTCTCATAATTGTCAACATGCCCACCCCCCACCCCCCTTCCCCCCACACCAGGTCGCCCGGCGCTGGGGGCTGCAGAAGAACCGTCCCGCCATGAACTACGACAAACTCAGCCGCTCCCTACGCTATTACTACGAGAAGGGCATCATGCAGAAGGTGGCAGGTGGGGCGGCGTTATGCTATTGCTACGAGAAATGCAATGTGCAGAAAATTATGAAACAATTGAGTCGCTTCACGCTAAAAAGATTATTCAGACGCACGTTACATTTATTTTAAGAGAAATTATTAGCAAATCATATATAATTAGTAAATACTTCTTATGAAAAAATATATGAAATGAAATATCTTTCATATTTTTATATTTCATTTCATACGAAATGAAATGATTTTATATATTTTTCATTTGCAAAACCTAAAATTTTTAGGTACAACATTTTTAATATTGAATTAAATGTTTATTATGATGTGCGGCAGGCGAGCGCTACGTGTACAAGTTCGTCTGCGACCCCGAGACACTCATCACTTTGGGGTTAGGAACCCCTACACCCCTGGACCCCGGCCACATCACCCGTCATCACACCTCACCCCAGCATCACCAGACCGTGCCCCCACACCGACATGACTTCACCACACCATCAGCACACAACCAGCACCCATTCCACCACCACCACCACCACCACCATCACCACGCAGCACAGGAGAGGCGACTGCGTATGTGGCCCCATCACTACTGCAGGACCGCGGCGCAGTATGCTGGTAGGAATAGCATTGTAATGACGTTCTCGCAGCGTGCAGGTCTGGCGAGTGTGCTGGTAGGAATAGCATTGTGATAAAGTTCTCGCAGCGTGCAGGTCTGGTGAGCGCGCTGCTAGGAATAGCATTGTTGTTATAACATTTAGGTAGGAATAACATTGTAATGACAGCAAGCGGGAGGACGGGATGCTGGTTCCCCAGTCATAATACTTGTATTGTATTGCGATTACAAGTGGTTCACCCATTACATAATATTGACGAATAAATGTTTATAAAATTTAGTTTAATGTTAAAAGATAACTTATGTTGAATTAGGGACGAAACTGGTTGATCGAAGAGAATTTGTTTAAAAAAGTTGGCGTTAGAATGAAAGTTTAAGATTTGAAGAAGTAAACTGTGACTTTTTGAACCGTTCATTTTTTTTAAGTTTTATTTTTACTCCCCAGTGACGTGGGGAAACGGAGGCTCTCCCCACGTGGCCGCGTGGACCAGCCCCCCACAGTACGACACCCCCTACTACTTCACCCCCAAGTTCAGCTATGACGTCATTCCTGAGAGCATGACGTCATTCTCTCCCATGTCACAGCTGTCCCAAGTGACGTCATCCTTTGGTCCAATGACAACTCAGCTGTCACCTGTGACGTCATCTTTCGGACCAATGGCAACGCAGTTATCACCAGTGACGTCATCTTTCGGGCCAATGGCAGCGCAGTTATCACCTGTGACGTCATCTTTCGGGCCAATGGCAGCGCAGCTATCACCCGTGACGTCATCTTATGCAGCGATGACCTCAGATCCGACGGCTGTCAGCACCGCGGTTGAGGACAATCATCGCGATGAACTCAAGTTCTTTGCAGCTGGTAAAGGTTTAAAACAGCTGGTAGCTGGGAGACTTAAGGCAGCTGGTAGTAAAGAGCCTCAATAAGGCTTGTCGTTAGCTCGACATTACGCCGATCTCTACCCACAGGGCCGTACTATCGAAAAGTAATTCAGACAGCCAATCACTGATGGCTTTTCGAGCTAAATCCACTAATCAAAAAAGGAAAAATTAGCCGTTACGGATACATAGGCCGCTGTGTGTACCTACAATTTTTGATAGTACGGACCCCCAGTCTCCTGGTTTCTCGTGCAGCGTTTAGGGTACGCCCCACGGTACGAAAGGCGGCACGTAACGCGAACGTAAACCACTAATGCCTGGCGTAACAAGTCTACGGTAACCAAGTCCAATATTTTGTTTACCTCCCCTTATGCCGCGCTTAATTAAAGAGCGAGGGAGCTAAGTCTTGCCATACAATTATACAAAATTTTAAATATAAAATTGAGCCATACCAATGAAAAACCGTCTTCTCAAGAAATTAGGTTCAGTACCAATTATAGCGCATGGTTTATTGTTGCTTGTCATTTCAATAATCCTTCGATTTAGCAAGAGATACTTATAATTTTTTTACGAGAGTCGAATTTTTTTGGGGTAATTGTGATTGCCAGCAATTTTGAACAAATTGTGTCAGACGAGTTCTTAATAGAGGCTATCTTAAAGCTAAAGCTGAAGAGGATACAATAGCGATCATAATCGCACAATGGGACGAATTTCTGAAACCATCATTACTTGCCAGAATAATCCAGATCCGTAATAATACGTCCAGAATTTTGTAATCATTATACTACACAATTTTCTAATAATTGCACCATATAATTGTGTAATAATTATATTACATAACTGCGTAATAATTATACTATATTTTTGGTAATTATTCACGTTTAATCATTGTCCCCCACAGATCGCGGCAGCTACCCACCCTACGTCGCCCCACACTTGGGGGTGATCAGCACCCATGCATTATCACCCCCTTCGTCTCCTCCCCACTACCCTCATCCCCACGACCCCCTCACCCCTTCCACCATACTTGGAGGTATCGCCCCCTCGCTCCCCGACAGCCTCCCTTTCAACCCCGACGAGGGGGCGAAACTGTACAGCCTGCACAGCGGCGTCAGATGAGGGGTCGGCAGGCACCTGCTGTGCTGTACAGCCTGCACAGCGGCGTCAGATGAGAGGTCGGCAGGCACCTGCTGTGCTGTACAGCCTGCACAGCGGCGTCAGATGAGGGGTCGGTTGGTCCCTGCTGTGCTGCACAGCCTGCACAGCGGCGTCACGTCAAGTTATAGCACAGCAGCTGCGATAGACCGTTTCAGCGCCGCGCAAATATTGAAGAATTTTCCCATAACGTAATCAGGATCTGGAGCATGTAAATGTGAGGCGCTGGAAGTTTGCACATCGCAAACATAATAAATTTTATCATTGAAAATTGCGGCTTTTCTTACAGCGTCTAAAATAAGCGGCAAGTGCACGCTGCACGTCCTGGTAGCTCCTGGCGAAGGAGGAGAACTAGAGCGGCCATGGACCGGCAGGTACTAAACTTGACACAATTAGGACCTAAGGTTCAGGTGCAGGTAATTTATAGCGCTCTCATCCCTGGGTCGACGGCGGGCGTGGGGGCAGAGTTTGCAGCGAGGCAACCGCCTGGGGCGATTCGATCACTCGGAGATGAGGACTGTCCAATTGGCGATGAACTTTTAGCTTTCGTATAGGCCATCCTGACCAGGATTAGCGCGGTAAAAAGACGAATCAGTTCCAATTACGCTCTTCGGAGACTACTGGAATCGGAAAGTGGGTCACCATTTGGACATAACCCATCAATTCTTTTCGGCGTTACAAGAAATTTGAACGCAAGGTGTAGGGCGTCGCCGCTTTTCGAGTAACTGACTAGAGAAGAAAAATGACGAGCCTTGGATACAGTTTCAAATATTACTTTTAACATTTCCTTGTACAATCTATCGTCTTGATCATACGGTGCAAGATTTGAAAAAAATGTACCAAGTTCAGTTTATGAATTTGTGGCTCGAGATGACTGCTTCCTCAGACGAAGACTTTAAACTTAGGCCGACTTAGGCTTCCACGTCAAGCTCCGCAACCCCTGCAACGTGCAGTCGTGCACCGCTTCTTCTTGCCGTTTCGTCTTCTACAACCACAAAATCTTACCAATTCTTTGTTCATCTGCATTGAATGAATTTACATCTATTGACGATTCCTACTGCTTAGACGCCAAACTAGACGGTTCAAGCATCTGGGATGAAAGTGATATCACGGTTGAATGTTGCGCTAAGTTTTGAAACACAACTAGCTCTTCAGTTAGCTTCGTGGCCAGGATCATCTTCGACATAGCGTCGAGAAACGATCTTGATGGATGCGATAGTGTGCGCCCTAACCTGACTTAGCATTAAGTTATGTTACGGAACTGTTTGTGCTGTTAGAATATGGGGTATGTATAAAACCTGACCCCTATAGGTAGCCCATACACAGCAGCTGTGTACCCAACGTTAGTAGATCTTGTTACGTGCTTGATGTGTCGCATACAAGTTTGTTGAAGTGTTCGAGAGAGAATAAAGTGACGACGATGGCCTCTTTTCAATAACCTACTATAATAAATATTATCGTCGTCTTCACTGAAGGGTTTCATCTACACACCACGACTTTATATAGTTGACTTAATTGACGCAAGGCTTGAATGATAATATACAACTTTTATTCAGGAATAAAATACATAAAATGTCTTAAAGCTGGCCCACATAAAAATTTGTATTATCCAATAGACGCAGTCTGAAGACAACAGCTTTGTGAGTGAACGCAATAAATCTTCAATCGGATTACACCAGGCTGCAGAACTAAAATGTTTGGTCCCACTCGTGATTAGGTCAACTCAGCCAACCGACTAACGGCTTTAACAATGACAAAAACCAGGTTTCTGCTCAGCCATTAGCACAGTTTACCAACTCCCTAATCTTTCTAAATGAAAATATGAGGAAATCGACAGGCATTAGACACAGAAATCTTGATGTCATTTCTGCCTGAGCAAGATTGGCGTGCAACGCGCCAATACAAGTCTTCAGTTTGTCACCCATACGAGCCATGGAACCATGAAGAATTGTCCTAGGGACGGCAATCTTCCGTCTTTGGCTCCCTCATTTACGGTCATCCAAGGACGGGCTTCTCCTGCGCAGGTGAAGCTGAAAGTTTCCGCTTCCCGAGGTCAGAGTTGGCGACGATCCAGTCGATGTAGCGCGCCACGTCCACGTAGAGGCCGGGCCGGTCAGGTACAGAGCAGCTCTCGCCAAACGACACCACGCCAATGAGGAGCCACTGATTGCAGGTCGTCTGTACCATCAGGGGACCTCCGCTGTCTCCCTGTTGGGCATGGAGGTGGAAAATGAGTTTCGAGAATGGGTGGGGGTTTCAGTGGGAGTGGGTTGGGAATAGGAGGCGTAAGGGTAGCGGTGGGGTAACGGTGGGGTAGGTTTGGTGGTGAGGTGAGGTGAGGGTAGGGGTGGTGGCAGATTTGGTGGAGGGGTGAGGGTAGGTAGGGGTAGGAGTTGGTTTAGTGGAAGAGTGAGAGCAGCGATGGAAAATGGTTGTGTGGAGTGTGCGTAATTCTACTACTAAATTTTTCACAAAATGAATAAGGGAATGCAATTTTATTCAGTGTATAGTGCAGTTGCACAAAGGATTAAATTTTGCACACAGCGACTGAGCCAATAAACTTAGTAACTATGCTACACCAGTTGAAAATGGTTCATTCCGGGCCACTAACAGATTTAGGAGTAATTTTAGTTCAGGGCTCATGAATGGCTACGGAGACTGGCATTGAATGAAAGAGTGAACACTTCAAGGGATATTGACCCAGGTACTTTAACCGTAAATAATGCATGCCCCGACCCTTTTGACGTTTAACACCACAGAAAATATTTACGGAAGAACAAATCATGCAAAAAGAAATTTGTAAATAAATTCTCAACTTCAGGCAAATATATTCTAAATTTTTGTATTGCTGTCTGAGTTTCGCTCCCCCACTTTGCACGCGTCGCTGCGTCCGTCCTCGAAGCCTGCGCAGATGATGCCCTTCCTGCGCTCGATAGCGTCCATCTGCCGGTCGAGGATACTGGCGCAGGAACGCTGCGGCAACACCTCCACCTGCGTCTGCTGCAGGATGTCGTTGTAATCTTTGGCATCTGCACAGGGTTACGAGTTCAACGAAAGAAAGTTTTATTATTTGATCATTTAAATGTATTATATTTTAACCTACTGAAAAGTGGAAAGGGAACCTGGACCCTATATAAAATTTCGTCAGAAATTCAAATTGAAAAATCATCGGCTGATTTCGAAGAAATCATCGGCGAGTTCAATGAAAGAAAGTTTTATTATTTGCTTAATTAAATGCATTATATTTTAACCTACTGAGAAGTGGAAAGGGAACCTGGCCCTATTTAAAATTTCGCCCGAAATTTAAATGGACTGAAAAGTCATAGGCTGATTTCGAAGAATTCAGATACGAAATCAACTTGCTACCTTTCAGCAGGACTGACCCGGTGTAGTATAGCCCCAGCCCGTGACGGAGGCCAACTGGCCGATGAAGTCCTCGTAGCGCTCTGGCAGACAGATCGGCTGGACGGTTTCGTTAAAGACGACGGGCGTGGCCAGCTTGACGAGGGCTAAGTCGTCGGTCAAGGTGTCGTCGTCGTAAAGAGGGGCGATGTGCATGGCCTTGATGGAGATGGGTTCGACGGACGAGTTCCAGTAAACTACTCCAACTTTCACCGTGAACGAGGAGAGAGAAACCGAGCCCATCTGACTACTGAGATTAAACACAAGTTACTCTTGCTGATTAGGAGAAACCGATACATTTGGGTGCATCGAACGTCGATTTAATGAGCAAAATTCTAATGTGTCGACTTATGAGCGTTTCAGTGCACGAAATCACTACGCTATATCATTTCTAAGCATTTGAAAGTAATTAATGGAATCTTCAAGCATGTTCAACCAATCGAACGAAATCACCAAAGTGGAAATCGGTGCCACTCACAGGGCGGCATGGAAGCAATGACCTGCGGTGAGCACGTAGCGGTCGCTGATGAGGGAGCCGCCGCACAGCCGAGTTTCGTTGAAGCCAGGGCGCGAAACTTGCAGAGAGAACCAAAGCGAACATCATGCTTCGTTTGTATGTGCAAATCATTCGTCAACGGCTTCAATGAGTATTCGGATACTTGTCCTATAACGGCCCTTGCATAGATTCCTCTTCTCTAACAGTAATGTTACCGGTCATCAAGCTCCGTACTTCAAGAATAATCGATTGGTATATCCGATATCAGTTTTTGAATGCAAAACAACAAACCTATACCACAAATTAGTAATCATTAGAAAGGCAAATTGCACTTTTACGCACGGTTAATGACTACCATCCAGGGCCACTCGCCGGGCTCAGCATCTTCGCCGCCGACGATGCGCCTGAATCTTCTAGTCTCGTACTTAGTGCCACATCCTGCGTGCAGAACTGCTCTTAGTTTGCTGCTAGCTATCTAGAGACTGAACGACGTGCATCCTAGACAAGTCCTTCTCAAGCAGGAGCATGAAGTGTCCCGCTAGTTTAGGTTGTTGAGTAATTGAGCAGATACTTATATGCGATAATAGCATGCAATATTCTAAGTGCTATTATCGCTACTGATGCGTATACAGTTTGAAAAAACTCAAAGCTAAAAAAGGTGCGTTACTTATGGCTTGTGAACCACTTACCAGCAGCTCTGCAAGGGACGTTAATACTTCGTACAAGGTAATTTATTCAGAAATTTTAGACATTTTGCACAACGCAAGACGCGCTGACTCTTGCAACGTATTCACTGAAGTAAAGGTCGGATGAAAATCAAAAGAGAAAGGTGCGATAAAATTTCTAGCATGAAAATTCCAGTTACTATAAACTAATGCATGCCACTAACCGTTGGCGACAGCTCTTTTCCTACACGGAACGAAGTCTTTCTCGTATCGAAGTTTTGGCTCGAACTAGACAAAGAAAAAGAAAAGCATATTCAGATACGATAAGTCCACTCGTCTAGAAAAACTGCTAAATTTGAAGCCGAATTGGCTCCTTAACTTCAGATTCAAGCAGAGCAGCTCCCAAAATTTTATTGCTTACGATAAAATTGGACTAATCTTGAATCACACTCCACACGGTTGAAATTTGTGTGGTTACCTTCTCAACTTCTAGTAAGCATAAGCTTATAGCACACGAGAATTTACGAATTATTCACCTGTTTGATGCCGCATTCGGCAATTCATTCTCATCTACCTCCTCAAAGGTTTCTTTCAGCTAAACAAATACGCTCGTATATTGCAGCTTTATCGTCAGAACAGCGTCGGTATCCACTCACCTCCAGACCTTCGATGTCAGACGTCAGCTGAATGATCTCGCTGCGCTGGCCCTGCAAAGGGACGTCTTCAGAAAGTTTCCTCAGGGTCACGTTCTGAGCAAGATCGTTGATAATGAGAGCTTCTTTGGCTGCTTCTAAGATGCTATTGGAACTCGTCACATTAGCAGGCGCAGTTACATTGGGATACGTTTTACTTAATCCGATACCGTCAGCGAGACTATTCATAATGATTGATATGTCTCTTCTCTGGAGGTTGAGTGCCGCAAGCCTGTCCGACCAATCCACGTCCCGAGCATCGATGGCAGTGAGGTTCGACGGTTGGCAGGGATCGTAGACCTTCAAAGACCGTGAGCGACCCGTGGCCAAGACGTTCAATTTCTGGCAAAGTTGTAACCTAAACTCTGTCACATCGTAGGAATATTTGATAAAGCTTTTTTGGAACAGTTCAAGTTTGATTAAACTCTTCTCAATTCTGTTCAATTTCCCGTATATCAGAGACGATTGGGCAATCATTGAACTTCCGCAAAGAATTTCATACTTTTCGTCCACAGAAATGGGCTTCACTTCGAGATACGCTTTGCTGAAGACATCGTTGACACGGCGCGAGAGGGCGTCATACCCGGCGGCCAACATCTGTGGCGAGCACAGACGCTTTTTTTCGGCATCGAAATCAGAATCTAGCCATTGCTGTCCTGCCACCACGGCACAGCTCCACAGTGAGCCATTGAACTGCGTGACATGGCCGTCGACTGAACGGGGTCGAGGAATAGTAAGGTTAGTTTCATGTACAAACAAATGATTCATGCCCAGATGGACTTTCTTTCCAATCTCTCTCAACCCTCTTAGCAAGTGTTTAAATATTGCTCCAATGCTAGGAACCTCAAGATTCGAATAAGATTGACTACTTTACGACTCACCCGGCTGGTAAAAAAATTGCAGAGCTGCAAAAATATAAACGAAGAGCGCCATTACTCTCAAGACCTGCTCAAAAAATTTCGACTTGCGGTGACTGCACCGATTTGTATGCATTATAAAGCTGTTATCACGATAGTAGGATAAATCATCCTACATTTGAATAGTTATTTACCTATAAATTTCACCTGCAGCTAGAACAGTTGAAATAGAAATATGAATAATATTTTACAGGTTCCAACAAGAATATTGAAAACTCTCTCTACAACGAAAGCTAGAGCATTCATAACATAACATAACATAACATAGTGATGTCGGCTCTGAAGTGTAGGCCTGATGTGGCCTGTCGCCGATTCTTTTCCATTTTGTTTCCCTCAATCCCCAAGGACTTCACTTTACGCAACAGCCGCTCATGCGGAACACTGTCAAATGCTTTGGCAAAATCGAGGTACAATGCATCCACTGGCTCCCTTTCGTCCAGCAGGCGAGTCCAATCGTTCAACGTAGATAATAAGTTAGTGGTGCAAGATCTGCCGGCAATAAAAATTCAACAACAAAGTTTGCGTTTAGTGTCATCGCTGTTGAAATTGAAGCATAAAATGGAAATATTCACAGGACGATCAGTTCTCTTTCTCTTACGTCAAGTCCTTCGGGAAACTACTGCACATCGCAGTCAGAGTTTGAACAAAATCAACCATCAGAGGAACGCAGATTGGCTTCCTGGTAATGAGGTTAGCTCGATACCTGCTAGATGCTACAATAATCAGCATAAAAGTGAACGAGGCAAGCTCAACTTCCTCTCAATAATTCTTCTAATTCAATTTGGAAAACTATGCAACCCTGGAGTGTAATGATTTAAATGTGCGTCACCGAGTTCCGCCGGCAACACTCCGCACTACATGATCAAATATACTCTAATCTCTCTACAGGTACACAAGACGAGTCCTTCAGACGTGTCAGCTTGGCACTTCGGCAACCACTTAAAATGACGGAATCAAGATTCATGTCGTGCGAGTAAGAAAACTCGGATGTCGTTAACCTCAATGCACGAAATCAACAAAGTTGACTCCTCCCGTCCTACCCAACGTAGCGTGGCGAGTATAGTTTAACCATCGTTCACCTTACGCATGAAAAACCTATTTACTCTGGTTATACGTGAACGCTCTTGTATTAACAAATATGGAGTCGCACACCTCGGCAAATTTTACGCATTGCTGGGTTCTCGCGATTGTCATTTGATGCTTGTCAATTATAGGGATATAAGTGGCATGGAACGTAACAGTTTTGAAACATGCATCCGTTACTTCGCATGTTCGATCAAAGATGTAGACGATTCGAGTATCTTAGTCGTCAGTATCACAGCTTCCGACAGTAAGACGGATTGTTTGAGTTATTCTCTATTCAATGTACAATTTTTGAAACGTCCAAGATATTCTATTGATACCCGTATTAAAATTTGACCAAAAGCAATTGCTTCACTGGCGGGCCTGAATGGTTAAGAACATGAATAACTTCAGTCCAAAGATCATAAATGACTTCATAGGTCCAGAATGACTTCGTAGGTCCAGAATGACTTCATTCTGCAGGGTCCTTATGTTCTTCTGCAACAGCTCAGAAATCTCTGTTCTCATCGGGACCAGAGGGCATAGGGGGACGGGTATTATATCTGTGCAATGAGCCTTAATCTTTTCGCACAATTATCATTCGTTTTTCAAGCTTCTTGAACAAATGGAAAGAGCGAAGTGGTAACATTTCGTAATGAGGACCTGATGTACGAACTGTCGTTATACAGAAATCAGGAAGCGCCATAAATCTGATCACGGATGTTCGTTAAGGTTGAAATGTAAACGCCCGGTTAATAAATTTATTTTATTTTTAAAAATGACATCGTCAGCTCCGCATAGACAAATAACCGGAGCCATGTCTCGCGTTAGCTCAGCGCCGAATTAAATTACTTGGAAAATGAATGTATTCCTGAGAGCAAGAAACAATTAAATTCGTCTTGATATAAGACAAAACCTACAGCCGTAATCAGCAGTCAGCGAGATACAGCACTCGGCTCAAATATGCCGATCATGTTAAGCTTACACAAGATCTAATTACTCACTTAAAGAGCTTCACTAAATTACAAGTTCAGGTCACGAAGACAGCCTGGAGCCCAGCGGCACTCACGCACGAAGCTTGCTACGTACGAAACGGTTTAGAGATCACGTGCCTAAACTGGAACGAAACCAGAGATTTCAAGCTTGGTTCAGAGTAGCGCCAGTTACGGTACATTGATGAACATAACTCGACTGAACCGAATGAAATTTCTGGGGGTGCCCGTTTCTTGTCCATAAGAGGAATACGAAGGCTACAATGATCGCTTGGTACGGTTCTAGTTTTAATTTTATTTCAATGAATGGCTTAGCGCCAGACAACGCGCGACTGGAGGACAGCTATTAACAACTTTTGACAAGAAAAGATGAACACAGCAAATTGATCCTATGGTGTGGGCTCACAATCACGCATCATTTACTCAAGAGTTGATTTGGAATGCCACCAGCGTCACTAAGCAAAGTAACAAAGAGAAAAGAAAATAATGGATAAACCAGGAACCTATTAAAAATGTATCAAAAAATCCAAAGCACGTTCGACTATCGGAGCGTGAGAAGCGCAGTCGTTCCAAACAATAATTGAAGAGAAGAATCGCGTTCAATACAATTCCTTGTCTATAAATTTTAGCATAAAAAAACACCTCGTGCTTCTGCCGGTCTCCTGCAGATGAACGCATGGGAGTCGGCGCACAGCGAAGTAGATCCAGCACCAGCTCAATGAGAGACAGCTGTGGCAGCAGGTGCTGCAGCAGCTGCAGCGCCAGGTGTGCTGGGATTGCTGTGCTGTTGCTGCTGTTGTTGGTGCAGCTGATGCAGCGCGTGTTGTCTGGCACGAAGCTCGGCAGCTTTAAGCTGCTCCAGGTGGAACTGCTGCTGCTCCTGTAGCAGCTGCTGCCGCTGCAGCTCCAGGCTCTCCCTCTCACGGTCCATGATTGTCTCGAGCTCCTCAAAGTGCCGGAGTTTTATCTCAAGTTTCTTCATTTGAGTTTCGACAAGCAAAGCCACAAGGCTTTTTATTTTGCGCTCCTCTACGGCGGCGAGATGCTTCGCCTTCACAGCTGCTGCACCCAAGGCTGCTGCTGCTGCTTGCTGCACACTCGCGTCTTTTCGCAGCTTCTCAACGGCCTGCCTTTTGTCCTCTTCCTCAGAAGGGTCCTTCGTTGATGTCTCTTTTTTGTCACTGTCCTTCTCCTCACTCTTCACCTTGCCGTCTTCCCCAGATTTATTGGCTTCAGACTTCGTCGCGTCTTTACTCACGTCCCCAGACACCTCATCCTTCTTCTCGGTGTCCTCAGACTCTGCCGTTTTCTTCTCCTCCTCAGCTCCTTTGCTTGCTTCGGCAGAGTCTTTCTCCTCACCATCAACCTGCATCTTTTCCTCGCTCTTCTCAGGCGTGGTCGCCACGGCGCCATCTTTACTGACGGCGTCCTTCTCTTTGTCTTCATCGTCGGTGGTAGTTCCGGCGATGCCGGTTTTGTCGAGTCCCAGGTTGCCGTCGGGAGCGTTACCGGCGGCCACGTTGGATGCGACGGTGCGAACGTGCGAGTCCAGCAGCGCCGCTGGGACCTCCTCCTTGATGCGGCAGAACTCCGTCATGGCGGCTGACGCTGCGGCCGCTGCGATGCGCGGGTCAACCTGCATTATATATAACTGCTGTAATGAGCCTCGTCGCAAGTATAATTCCCTTTTTAATACAAAATTCATGTACATGTCATATTGTTAAATTTTTCAAACTTCAGTCTTAACGGATACATAGACCGTTCGTTCTCAATGCAATTTATATATAATGGCCTGGTAAAGAGAGTTACAGTCAGTTGTATAATGATTAAACTGGTAATATGCATCCCGTAGATTGATGCACCTCATTAGTAATCCATAATTTTAGACAGAAATACAGGAGTAAATGACAGGTTCTATTATATGGAATGGAAACTCGTCCACTAATTTGAACACTACATTAGATTAGCAGGAGCAGTAACTATTTTACTGACTTGCAACATAAAATTAGTCATCTGGGATTATCTTCATTGAAATTTGCCTCTTCGTCCAAAGATCACGAACATTTTGCTCAACATTTGTGAAGTTCATATCGTAATCGTTTAGACTAAGCAACCTTCATCAGAGTTGCCGTTAGTACGCAGAGGATCTAAGAATGGATTTAGGGATTATTGTTGCCTTGAACTTCGCCAAGAATATAAAAGCAAAGACATCTGCAAGTAAATTCGACATATCTCCATTGAGAATGATTCAGAGACCAGCCCCATTATCAGTTAAAAAATACACATATAAAATTGCAGTGTGGCACAGAAGACGAAGCTGCAAATAAGAAGACTCAACGTAAGCTCATAGCCACAGACTTAGCACGCACCACTGAAGCCAGGAAGGCAACGGTTGACATGATGGGGTTGCCGGCCCTACTGAAGGGGATGGGCTGATGCTGTAGAGGCCCCATGACAGGATCAGCCTCCCCGGCGTCCTCCAAATAAGGATCCTCGATGGGCAGCCGCAGGAAGTGTAGGATGCACTCATCCTGCGTGCGGGACCCCACGTGCTCGCACACTTTGTTCCAGTCGTCCTTGTACAGCTGTCGGTGGATCATCGGGAGATGTATAGTACTTTTGGCAAATAATGAGAACAAAAGTATAAACAATAATATTAAAATAATTAGTATTGAAAAAAAAAAAACAATAATTGGCTTGTACATCTTACTAAAATAGTGATGTTGAACTATACTATCAACACATATACATTCAGTTTCTTCATATTTACAACAATACTCGGATTTGCTTATTATAAAGACACAAATATCCAATTCATATAAACTTGTTTACATCCCACATCAACCATTCATCAGAATAAAATAAAAGATTACTTAGAAACAAAGTATTATTCAAAATTATATATAATAATACCATCGCAAATTCATTAATAGCATCGATGTCTCCCAGGAGCAAAGTATGAGTTTATATTGGCTTAAATAACCACACACTCAGCGAAATGAGCGAGACTTTGTCCTAATAATAATCGACATTTTTCCCTGTTTGTGATGGGCATCTTGACACAGTTTGACCAGGAAGTAGGACATATCAGCACTACATCCAGGTAGTGTGTCAGTTTTAGGAGAACGCGACACATTATTTTCCTGAGTGTACCAAGTCTCATGCACCGACCTCGAGCGCCTCCAGCAGGAGGACGGTCTCCTTCTCGGTCCAGTCTCTGGTCTGGGCGTTTGGGGCGCGGTTCTTGAGGCTCTTCTTGCTGTACTGGTCCATGCGCAGTCCCAGGTCTGCGCCAGGCGTCGGCCCGCCCGGGGACGTGCCTGTTAACAAACAATTTGGAACTTGAATAAAGAAATAACTTCCGCCACATTGTACCAATGTTGACGCACAAATATACGCCGCACCAGCAAGCTACCTGAAAAATCTGTATTCTGAAAGCCGCAGGCAATACATTCTCAAAAAGTTATCCAAACAGATCTAGACGAAATGTTCATCATTTTTTACCTTCTTAAAAAGACGAGAATATGATTCTGATTGTGGCAATGACAACTTCTGTAATCAGTACATGAGTAAGCTATAAAGTATTGCTTTTCTGGAGTTCCACTATCGAGTTAATTAGAAGAGCGCGACACTTTAGTTCTTCTCATATAAGAACTACAGCACAAACCCGAACAATCGTTGCGCCCATGAAGAATTTGTCAAGAGGTAAATCGCGCAAAGAAATAACCAAAATAATACCTAGAGGATAATAATGTTGCTGTGAGACTAGCTCGCTATGTAATTAAGGCGTTCATCAATGCACTCCCGTCAATTATCAATGTTCTTTGCTGTAGGTTTTTAAATACAATCTTAGCATGGTTTGGTCTACGCTCATAAGCCACGCTCTGGCCACCGTGATACATTCATTATTAATTTGAGTAATGACCGTAAGTTGCTTTGCAATACACTGGTATTCTGTTATCAACAGTATCAAGAGAAATTCTTGTCAATATACAGGGGACTTAGAGTAGAAAATGAAAGATAACATACCGCAGTCTGACTCAGTCTTGGGCTTGATGTCAAGCACCTTAGCAGCGCATGGCTGGTTCACTCTGATGGGGTTGATGCTCTGCAGTCCCGAGGGTGAGTCCGCCAACACGTGGAAGTGCGAAGTTGGGGGCGGGCCCATGGGGGTGGGGCGAGCGTCTGTGTCGACCTGCAACAAATGTGTCGTGTAAGAAATGGAACAAGTAAAATAAATGTAAGGCAATAAGTTATACCTGACCCCATTAACTAAGTGGAATTACGAAGCTGATTGTGTGAACTGGAAGATTGATCATATATTATCGGATTATAGTTTTGTTTGTTTGCTTTAGTAGCCTTAGTTGCTAGCGCTTCAGATCGAGCTATATCATGCCGGATGTCGCGTTGGGCGTCATGGACTAAGATTGGGTACATCACAGCCGGGGTATATACTGTCGAACAAATTTATCGCCCTCAAGGCACCTATTCCATGAGTCGACTGAAATTATAATGACCGCGTTCTGGTTAAGCCATGATACTTTTCAGGTGTTGGAATCATTTCGACATAGGCGAGGGAAAAACCTGGTAGTTGATGAGGCCCCACTGCTCGAGGAAGGCCGGGCTACTAAGGGCCTCACCTGGTAGTTGATGAGGCCCCACTGCTCGAGGAAGGCTGGGCTACTGAAGGCCTCACCTGGTAGTTGATGAGGCCCCACTGCTCGAGGAAGGCGTGCACGCGCATGATGGCGCACACGTCGCCCGCCAAGTTGCGGCGACACGCCGTACTCGTCAGGTACTCGCTTGGGTTCAGCCTGCACACAAGTGGTCCAATTAACGGTGTGTAGCAGAGAAGTGAATCAATTAAACAGTCCGCAGAGGTCAAGTGAATCAATAAAACTGTCTGCAGAGGTCAAGTGATTCAATTGAACAGTCTGCAGAGGTCAAGTGAATCAATAAAACTGTCTGCAGAGGTCAAGTGATTCAATTGAACAGTCTGCAGAGGTCAAGTGATTCCAATTGAACAGTCTGCAGCAAAAAAGTGAATCAATTGAACAGTTTGCAGCGGTTAATTGATTCAATTGAACAGTCTTCAGTGGTCAAGTGCTTCAATTGTTCTGAAAATGGGGAGCGATTCAATATAACAATTTGAAGAAAATAAGTGTTAAATGAAGAGTTTCCGAGTGAGCTATGGTTCCATTAAACTCAAGTACAAAATACTTTTTATGTGAGACAATGCCTCAAACTTTATCACATTCCGGCTTTTTATGATCAACACCACTGAAGAACTCACCTGTAGGTTTCAAAAGAAATAATTCTCCTAAGTCCAAGCACAAAAAAAAATATTTCTCCAGACAACTCACCTGTAGGTATCAATCATGAAGTTCCTGTAGGCCAAATAGATCTCAGGAGTTTTGCTCTTATTCTTGCCATTGAAGAATTCAGGAAGGCCGCGTTTTTCGATGGCGTGGATGGCGTTGTAGTCGAACCAGGCGCTGTAGCTGGGCACGATGATGTGGTGCGTCTGGTCCGTAGCCGTGTCCTCGGGCTCACTTAGCTGCTCAAAATAAACAACAGATTACAAATTAACTCAGAATAAACAACATTGAAATATTATGCGGTCTGATAGTGATCTAATATTTATTAATGTTTGGATGATTGTATGAAGCCCTTGTCTTCCTCTGCAAATCATCAGTAACCAGTATACATAATATTTTCGAATGTTTCCATACATTATAAGTGAACATTATCTCCGTATGATAATTACTATCGTTATAATACTCTATTTAATATTGAAAATTTCTCAATAATGAATAATTGTGCCCGGACCTGCGCCCCCACATCGGTCTTGTCGTGGTCCTGGGCGTCCATGTCGTGGTAGGTGGCGCCTTTAGAGGCCCCCGTGACGGCCGTGTTTGTCCCGCCGCCCGACGAAGTTTTGCTGCCCACGGTAGCGGTGGCAGTGGTGGTGGCGGTAGCAGCGGCGGTGACCTCGGTGACGCAGGGCTCGGGCGGCGGGTCCTCCAGTCCCGCCGTAAGGTCGTCCTCGTCGTCAGGGCGGGACTTCTTGGCGGGCTTGGCGGGGGACGGGGCGGTAGACGTAGTTAAAACAACAGACGGAGTGAAAACAACAGACATAGTGAAAACAACAGACGGAGTGAAAACAACAGACGTAGTGAAAACAACAGACGTAGTGAAAACAACAGACGTAGTGAAAACAACAGACGTATTGAAAACAACAGACGTATTGAAAACAACAGACGTATTGAAAACAACAGACGTAGTGAAAACAACAGACGGAGTGAAAACAACAGACATAGTGAAAACAACAGACGCAGTGAAAACAACAGACGCAGCGAAAACAACAGACAAATCCAACATGTAAGGGATTATAATGCTTGTAATGAGAAGTAATGTCAACGAGCGGAGCAACAAGCAAGTATGTTACAATGGATTCGAACACCTATGCCAAAAAACGATTCAATATCAGGCCCTAAGCTCAGAGGACGTTATTAGATAAAGAAAATAAATAAATTACATCGTAACATCAATAAAGAAATACATTACCCTTTCCTCCTGCCCCCGGCGCGAGGAGAGGGTGGGCTCCTGGGCCTCTTCTTGCTGGCGGTCTTGGTTTCCTTCTTCTTCCTGTCGGGGTCGGAGAGTGCCATGGTATCCTCCACCGACAGGCAGTGAGGATGCTTTAGCTTCGTTCCATTCTCATCCACCGTGTAATCCTCCTCGTTCATCCACTCATTGTAGGACTCAAGGTCCTGCAGCCAGTTGGCACACACCTGCAACAAGGATTGCAAGATTTAACTGAAACGCATGATTTGTCTACAGAAACTTGCCCAATTTCCCAGACCTTCAGATACAAATGGCGGTTGCAACTGTTTATTATAATTTAATGTTTTTAAAATTACACTGGAAATATAAAATATGAAACCTAGATCATGGCCAAATGTTTTAAGAAAAGTAAGCAAATACTAACTTAAGGCAGCATTTCATATCTCACTTTAACAGGAGATTGTTCCGGCATGGGCGGGGAGGAAGGAGGATCGTAGTCGAGTTCGACATTGACGCCCCAGTTGTCGTGGGAGTCTGGCATGTAATAGAAGTGGAAGAGCGTCGACTTGTCCCTGCGCAGCACACCGCGCGCAAACTCCTCATCAAGAGGATCTTGTTCGTCATACACGACGTGTGTGGCTTCACTCAAACTTTCTGTGTGGAGGCAAGCAGTCAGGTTCAACACGCAATTCTAAGCAGTGATGAATGCTGTGTGAACGAGCATGAGCTAAAGTCTAAACCAATACACGAGATCATTTCTAAGACAAAATATTTGTTACTCATCATACCGGTAACTTAAATGCTTTGATCGTATTGAATGAGCAACAATTCAATAAAAAAATGTCAGACTTTCTATCAACTCAGATTAAGAATTGAACACTGACCTGAAGCGTAAAGGAACTAACCTAATAACTTCAGTCAAAATAGTTCATAATTATTTTAGGTGACATTCATCAAGTTCTTAAGCCTGCATTATGATGCCGCACTGCAATGCACAGGAAGAAAATGTCACAAAAAGCACTAGCAACCTCGCCATTATGGCGGGTGGCAGCACAGAAATGAAGCATCAACATATATGTACGCACCAACAACTTTGCCGCTGTGGCGAGTGACTATGTCGCAAAGTTCGTTCTTCATCTCAGAGTCAACAGACTCGTGAATGAAGATGCTTGGGGTCGTCCATGCACCACAGGACACGAGGTTGGCAAGGATAGATCGCAGCAACTCAATGTTGGCTTCACGTCTAGATGGAGACTGAAATAAAATTACAGGTTATTTGAAGTGATAGAGGAATCAGAAATGATTTGAAATTTCAGTAGTGTCTTAAGCCACATGTAAAAAAAATATGCAGCAGCAATGAAACTAATGTAGGTATCTATTTAAGTAAAAGAATTTAAGAAACAATATCATGTCGAGGTTATCAAAAGTTGGTATCAATAAATCTTTGGTCACTACCTAGCCGTCTCCTCTCTAGCTCAGTGAAAGGGTGGACAAATCAACACAATGGCTTACAGAAAAAATTAAAGCATTCTCTAGTGGATATCCTTACAACAGCTACGGTACCTACCTATATTCAGTGATAGGCATAAACATATGTTTGAAAAATTAAATTTTAATCAATTAGGATAACTTTAAATTAACACGTAAAAACTGTCATTTACGTAGGTCTAATGTGAAAGTTACTAGAAGAATATTGCATGATCTGCATTTGTGATAGCTCAGGTGCTTCTCATCACTCTAGATTTTGGCACTTTGAAAGATTTTCTAAAAATCAGTAGAATCTATAAAAAAGTTAAAGTACACAACAACCATATTATGCAAGACTATCATGTTGTGCAAGACTATCCATGTTGTGCAAGACTACCATATTATGCAAGACTACCATGTTGTACAAGACTGCCATGTTGTGCAAGACTACCATGTTATGCAAGACTACCATGATGTACAAGACTACCATGTTGTGCAAGACTACCATGTTATGCAAGACTACGGTACCATGTTATGTAAGACTACCCCAAACAAAAGAAACTAAGTACTTGGAAGTCAAAGCGCCGCCAGCTGTGGTCAGTTTTGTACTTGTAAACGGTGCTCAGGATGTGACACAGGCCCCCGTCTGGCTTGAAGTCCAGGAAGCATCGCATCTGCAATACAGAATTGATGAGCATATGTATTTTAAATAATACATACCCATATCAAGGAGATCTGGACATTACTCATTTTCTATTTTATCATTTATATTAACTTAAAACCATTATATTGGTTTTGAGCTTGATTTACATTTTATGGCAGAATTAGATTGACAAGTTTAAACAAACAAACTGTTTTAAAAATTAATTCTTTAGTCTAGACTTAAATACAAATTGTATATATAATATTTCAAGAGTGTTAAAGGATTATAAAGATATTTTATTTGATTTAACTGAGAGAATTGTGCTGAATGGGACTTCAGCAGCTAGGAAATGAAGAAGCAGCCCTCACTGGTAATTTGACGAGTGGAGGATTGGTGGCTTTTGTGCCACACGAGTCCTCCATGAACTGCAGGAGCTGCACCACCAGCTGGGACAGACCCTTGCATGTAGGAGGGTCAGCAGCCACATGCTGTCAACAAATGAGCAAACAATGCTTACCAAGTTATCAGTAATAGAAATTGACATTGCATAACATAATTAAGAACAATTTTTACTAATTTTAACATTTATTGCATGTCAAAGTAACAAATGAGCAAACAATGCTTACCAAGTTATCAGTAATAGAAATTGACATTACATAACATACGGTACGTAATTAAGAACAATTTTACTAATTTTTACATTTATTGCATGTCAAAGTAACAAATGAGCAAACAATGCTTACCAAGTTATCAGTAATAGAAATTGACATTACATAACATAATTAAGAACAATTTTTACTAATTTTTACATTTATTGCATGTCAAAGTAATGCAGCAGGATGGCATCACACGCCAGCTTGCCTCAAGTGATGTGTAGTGACAGCAAATTCCTAGCTCTTTTGTTGTCATAACTTATAATTGGTGGTCTGTGCAGCATTGAAGGATTTTACAACCTATGGAAGAAAGTAAGATATTTTACCTCAAAATTCTTTATTTTTTAATTTACTTTTGTCAATCACAATTTGTGTAAGTTGTATTGAATACATGTATCCTGTAGGCATTGTATTTCTCAGCCAACTCAAAGGAAATGGTGACCCATTTTTGTTTGACCCCCAAATGGTGCCATTTCTGTTTACTTTGACATCAACACTTGTAACGATATACTTCATTCTAAATATGGAAGCTCAAAAAATGATTGAATTTTATATTATTTACTATAAGTTAACTTTACATTGAATATAAGAATTTTAGGTGACTATTTCTCACCTAAAGTTCTTATATTCAAGAGGGGTAGTGCAGACCAATAGCCAAGACCAGGCACGGGGTGCCCTTTGCCAAAACCAGTAAGTACTGCCAATTATAGAATTGCACCATATGTCTTGTCATAATTCAAGTTCTTTTTCTTGTATCCAAACATATATAAATCAAAGTAAGCTACCAGTTAGGCTGGATTTTTAAAACTGAATGCCTCCTGCGCCCTGAAGCAAAAGCTGCCTGTCTGCGATTTTGGTAGCTTTGTTGTGTCAGTTGTGAGTCGTGTGTGGTTTATGCACATACCTATTACAATTCCCAAAAATTATTTCTAAGTGATTTAAAAATTTGTCACTCTTAGAGCTATAAGATTTCAGTCCACACTCAGGATGATGTACGTTTTCACAGAATTTTCCAGCGCATTATGACTTTTTTTTTAAGCCATTGCTGCGCACAGTTGGTGCAACTTCTGGCCATCCCCACCTGCACGCACAAGCATTGGCACAGCGCGCAGATACATTTTGTCAAGGGACAAGAGACAGAAAACTTATAATACTCAATATGCATTTAATTTTCCATCAATAATCTATGATTTTCCTTTATATGGAAATTTTGTGAAAGTAAAACTCTAAAAATGTATTTTAGAAGAAATGTTCTACAAATTACTTATATGAACATCGTTTGTTTACCTTCTGTAGACCGTCCGGACGTGAGGCAATATTCTGTCCGGACGTGAGGCCAGTGGTGAATAACCAAATCCTCAGAAATTGGGCATATGAAGTAAACAAATACGTATTAGTGTTGAAAAGATTTTGCTTGTTCTATATATACTATTAGTGCGATGATAGGGTTATTAAAGGTTCTACGGTTAATGAAAGGAGTCAGAAATAGTTTCATCATTCTAATGAATGGAAAATAGTTTTAAGTGTGAAATCTTATGTAAATAAAATATGTCTAGGCATAACTGTCATCAGAAATTGCCATACCATTCATTCAATGTAATGGTATGGCAACATTGTCTTTATAGACTTTTACGCAATGCTGATACATCATCATGTGTCATGTGATGTGTCTCTTGAAAGTTGAAGCTATTCATATTTCATTAAGGTTTGCTGTTTGTCTATATAATTAACCTTCAAAGTTGCAAAAATTGAGAACTGATAATTAAAAAAAATTGCGGTGCCTGACTGCCTGTATTTTTGTATTCAATGGGTTCGCACCACACAAACCCATTTCACCAGCGGAGAGGATGTCTGGAATGTAACATATTCCTGACATTGACATTTGGGTTTGTACTATTTGCCAAAATCAGTCCATTAGAAGCAGTGTGGAATTCTGTATAGTTAATATATTCTCATGTTAATATAAGAAAACCTATCAAAAAACCAACCCTACCACCGCCACCGCGTTACACCACCTCACCTTCCACTGCAGTGAAAATTTATAAACTGAGCTCATTAGAAACCCGCTCTTCCGAAATCGCGCGTAGTTTGAAATCCAATCCCGTGTTGCGTTCTAAAATTCTAAAACGTTCTAAAATAAAAAAAAAAAACACATCCAGAATTGTAAAAAATTCTCACGATTGGACAATACCAAGAAAGTTCTCGATATCACACAAAAGTATGAGATAAACTTCGACTTTTCCAAGGCGAACATTCACATCATGTTTCCACGATCATATATCCTATCTGACATGGCAGCGTCACAGGCATAGCTTTTGGTCATGTCAAGTTCGATTTCACAATAATTAGACTTGATCCACATTCCATAACCGGGTACTGACATTTAAATGATGGAAATTTGTTTCAAATTATAAATACCAATTGATACGCGTCCAGACATACATTTTTTCATGTTTTTTGCCTATTTTGTTTATATTGTCTATATAATTAACTTCACCTCAGATTCTAAATGATTTTGTCTGCCATCCCGCGTTTTCGAACGTTTTGTGTCTTTTAGAAAATTTTCGTTGTTTAACATGGGAAACTATTTCATTATATAAAACATAGAGCACATACCATAAAATGGGGTAACTTAGACCACTTTTTTTTATAAATGATGCCATTTTTTTACTAGCTAAATTAAACTTGAATTGAAACATGCAAAATACAGGTCTATACTCTAGCTTCACTCACCATAAATTGCTGGCTCCTGCCTCTCATAGTCTTTATTTAATTTCAAAAAAAGTGATGGTCTTTGTTACCCCAGCTCTTGGGGTAACTTAGACCGGGTGGTAAAATCAATTATATTTTTTGGTAAAATAACTCCAGGTTTTGGTGCATTGTAGCAGAACTTTTCTAGTTACATATGCAAATGACAAACTTGAGGAAAGTGTCGTAGTTTGTAAATGGGGGGCACCGCCCCATAATGAGGGAAATGTGACTACCTAATGGCAG